AGCCTGAGAGAGGGAGAGAACTGGTAGGATCCCACCCCTGAATTGTGTCCTGCACCCACCTCCAGTGCCCCCCTGCCACCTCTTAGCGCTCCCCTAAGGCATCCCACCGGCCTCCAGGGGGCGGTACGGCCCACTTTGAGAACCACTGGTCTAAGGGCTATTGCTATTTTTTCTCTCTCTCTCTCTTTTCCTACTCTTCTTTTTTCCTGCCTTTTCTTATTCCTTTCTCATTCTTCCTGGTGGCCAGTGGCTAGAATGCAGTATTGCAGTGCCCACAACCTGGAGTTCAATCCTCACCAGGCTCCAGGTTGAATCCTTCCTTCCGAGGTGGGTAAAATGAGGACCCAGATTGTTGGGAGGAAATTATGCCGACTTTGTAAACCGCTTAGAGAGGGCTATGAAAGCACTGTGAAGCAGTATACAAGTTACTGCGAAGGAAGGAAAGGCAGAGGTGGGAAGGAGGAAGGAAGGAAGGAAGGAGGCAGAAGGGTGGAAGAAGAGTGGGAAGCAAGGAAAGGACAGTAAGATGAAGCCATCTTGGTGCAGTGATCAGAGTGTAGTATTGCAGGCTGCCCACAGCCAGTAGTTCGAATCTCGCCAGGCTTAAGGTGGACTCAGCCTTTCATCCTTCCGAGATCGGTCAAACGAGGACCCAGATTCTTGAAGTTAATATGCTGACTGGGTAAACTGCTGATAGGGGGCCGTAAAACACTGTGAAGCGGTATATAAGGGCTATTGCTTTTATTCCTCTTCTCCGTGCTTTGAAAAGCGCTGCATTGGGGTATCTCGGTTGTCCAGCTGTCAGGATTCCGGCAGTTACCCAAATAAATCATGAAATCTTGAGCCAGACTTCTAAAACTTGAAAAGGATTTTTTTGTGAGTTAACATGTCCGGCACTGCCTGGGTGTAGACAACTCTGAGACCCATCATTCATTGTCAGCCTTGACCCTGATTCCCCCCCCTCCCACCCGTTAGGTGTATCATAATTCATATTCTCCAATGAGACACCTCCATAGCCCAGAATCATCAATCATGTCCTCCAGTTAGATCATTGCATGGCAGAAACTTCAGTCAATTAGTTACTATCTTTGAAAACGTTTATGAAATGCAGTTTCAGTTTGCAAGTTGCTGCTGTCATGCCCCTTAGAATCTGACTCCTGTTAGGATCTGACTCTGAGGGAGGACATCCGATAAGGAGTGGGTATATGGCTCCGGGGGTTGTGGAGGCAACTGCAGAAGGGCACAGGACGGATGGGCATTCAGAAGAAGACCCAGTCCCCTCTTCATCCTAGGGCACGCAGGGAGGAGCAGATAAGGGAGAAACATGAATGGCATGGTCTACAGGGGAGGAAAGGGCCTTGATCCCCTTCATGGGCTGCAGCTATGAGGAAAGTTTAAAAGGACAAACTGCACATGTTCTGACATCCTTCCCAGTGTGTGTATTTCAATATTTGTGGCTATTGAGTTTCAACAGAAGTTTTTCGCAACTGTTTGTGGGGGAGTTTTTTTCTCCAGTCAATGATAATTGGACCTTTAAAGCCAACTTGAAGGAATTAAAGGGACTTCGCCTGTTTTTGTGACCTTGTTGCTTTTGTATCCCATCCTGGGTCATCACAGCCGCACTGCTCTTTCAAACCCCTTCCCCCCCAACCTCCCTTTCTGTTGGCAACTCTAAAGAGATATAGAAATATTTTATGAATTGACACCATCGGCTTCGAGGAAATCCCCTAGTCTTAACTTCGCCTGGAGCCAAAGAAGAGACCTTGAGAAACAATTATTAATCAAGTTGTTAATTGTCTACAAATTCACATATAAACTTTATTAAATATATATAGAAAATGGGGTATTTTTATACACATCTTTTTAAAAAGGGAACAGTTGTGTGTCTCTCTCTGTGTGTGTGTGTGTTGGAAGAAAAGTGGGCTTCATCTGCCTTCCATCAGGCCTCCTCAGCTGGAGTACAGCCAGAGAAGAAATGGCTGGTGCTCAGAATTCGCTTCCGACGTTTCTTCGTGGGTTTCATGGCTTCCCCTGACGGTCCCGGTGGTGACAATGAAGCCAGGAAGCTGCCCTGGGTGGTTTTCAGGGCTTCCAGCTCCATCGGTTCTTCTAAAACCTGTTGTGGGGGAGACAGAGAAGAGGACTTGAACGTTTCGTTCAATGACCGCCCAAATTCACTGCAGCAACTTGCTTTACGGCCGTAAAATAAAATCCAATGTGACCTGCTCGACAACCGTCTGGCTCAGCAGCTCAAATTCTGGATCTCACAACTGGTCACAAATCGAGGACCGCCTGCAGAGCTTATGAGCATCAGGGCATCCTTTTTGCTCGCTTGATGGTTACGTTCATCCCTCCCTTCCTACAGGGAGTCCTCGACTTAACAACAATGGAGGCCAACATTTCCATCGCTAAGCGAGACATTTAAGTAAAGGTTGTCCCTTTTATAACCTTCCTTGCCACAGTTGTTGAGTGAATCGCGGCAGCAGTTAAATGAGTCACTCAGTCGTTAAGCGAATTGGGCTTCACCCCTTGATTTTGCTTGTGAAGTAGGTCACAAAACGGAAATCATGTGACTCCAGGACACTGCGACCTCCATA